CCTCCTCCTCCTCCTCCTCCTGCTTCTCCTCAACCTCCTCCTCCTCCTCCTCCTGTTCCTCCTCCTCCTCCTCCTACTTCTCCTCAATCCTCAACCTTCTCCTCCTCTTCCTCCTCCTTCCCCGTAGCCACTGTGCCTCAAGAGCTTGCTCGCCCCTGGCTCGAGCTGGCAGCGGCCATGGCCAACGCGACGGCGTGGAGGCTAAGCGGCGGTAGCGGGGGCGGCGGCGCGGTGCCAAGCGTGGCGCCCAGGATGCCGCTTCGGACACATATGGGGGCGTGGGCATGGAGGGCGAGACCATGGAGGCCCCCTATCACCAGCGACGTGGAGGTCGCCACTGTGATGTGCAGGCAGGACGTCCAGCTGGAGAAGAAGGAGCGGGACTCCGTTGTCGAGGCATTCGAGCGGCTCGTGGACTTCACGGACAATGTCACCACCCTCGAAGAACAGCTGGTGAAGGCGGAGGCGGCCAGGTGCATGGCCGCGGAGTCTGTTTTCGAGTTCGACCCCGAGGCCCAGGAGTTGGGCATGTGCATGTTGAATGCCGCAAGGATGAACGAGCAGGTGTAAGTCTCGGCCATCGTCGCGGTGACCCTTCGACAAGGGCGGACGGGTTGCGGTGTTCCCGGTTTGAGCACCCCACGTTCTCGTCCAGGTCTGAGGAAGCGGGTCGCTGGATTCCCAGGGTCGTTGGGAGTGGTGCCAACTTTCACCGATGATGTTGGGGTCCAGCGCGTGGACGGCAGCTAGCGAAATCTTCGTGGCGACGTCTCCTCCTCCTCCTCCTCCTCCTCCTCCTCCTCCTCCTCCTCCTCCTCCTCCTACTCCCCCTTCCATCCTCATCCCTCCCAGTTGCATCGCCCCCTCAAACAAGTTTTCCCCAAGGGCTTGGTCGATGCGCGCCGTCGGCGACCGAACTTGGGCGAGCGTTGTCTCAGGCTATCAACGCGGCGGCACCGACAGCGAGCCCTAGCTAGAATGGGCAGGAACTGCTGCGGGCCTTCAGGCCCGTTTTTCCCGTACCCATCTCGCACGAGGGGGGCGTGGGACGAAGAGCAGAAGGAGAGGAGGAACAGGGTAGAGAGAAGGGGAGGGGGGATCCCTGAGATCCGACGCCACGAAAACACTGCAGCAACGCAAGACATCGCGACAGGAACCTGGGGCCCCACCCCGATCAAGATGTGCTGGACCCGGGGCCTGCAGCCGGGCGGGAAGGGGCCCCCGTGCGAAAAAAAGCGCGACGCCACGATCTCGAGCAGCTCCTCCCCCCCCTGTGAGGGTCAACTAAAGGGGCCACAGGACACACAAATAAATACACACAAATAAAACGATCCCCCATATTTTCCCATATTTTCTGGGTTTTTGTCTTCCCCACCACTTCCCATATTTTCCCATATTTTCTTGGAATCGACGATTAATTGTGTCTGTGTGTTTCTTTCCCTCCTGATCAACGGGAGGAGGGGGGAGCTGGCCCACGGGGGGGGGGAATCGACCTGGCACCGTCCAAGAAGCCTCCAAGACGTCCCAGGCCCCCTCCAGGAGACCCCCAGGAGGCCCCAAGAGGCCCCCACGAGGCTTCCAAGCGGCCTCTAAGAGCTTCCCAAGAGGCCCACAAACTACCCCCAAGAGGCCCCCAAGAGCGCTCGTCGTCGTCGTCGTCGTCGTCGTCGTCGTCGTCGTCGTCGTCGTCGTCGTCGTCGTCGTCGTCGCCATTCAGGGTCGGCGGCACCAGCCGTAAGGCCTTCGAAATCGACCTGGCATCGGCGATACGTCGCCGATAGATCGGCGAAGAGGCCCCCGATGGCGAAGCCGCACGCTCCTGGGCGGGACGGGCACTCGAACCCTTTTATCGGCACTGAGGTGGGCGACTGAGGGTCGACGCGCCCCCTCTTAGGCGGTTCCCCCCCCGAGCGTTGCCCCCGACCTCCCGAGCGCGCGCGAAGTGGGCCTGCCCCCCGGCGACGGCCACCTCTGCGTCGCCGCACGCCACGGCCTGGGCGGCCAGCTGCAGCGCCTGCAGCCCGGAGCCGCACACCTCGGGGCGAGGCAGCGCGGCGGCGGCGGCGGCGGCGGCCGACGACGACGACGCTTGATGATACTGTCTGACGGTGCCGCGAACGTTCCGCTCGCGGCGGGCCATCCGCGCGCGGCAACCGCGCGCGGCCGCCCTCATCCTCCTCCGCCTGGCCCGCCTGCCTTTCGAGTGGCCCCTTTTTATCCGCCGGCTGCTCGGCGCCCCCGTGCCCTTTCGCCAGGCCCAGCTCCTGGACCGCCTCTTCCGCCGTGAGGCCCACCTCGAAGAGCCCACCCACCTTCGGGTCGGGCGAAAGGGGGGGATAGCAAAGGGGGGGGTTGAGAATCACCTCACGTAGCTGATTTTCCCGGCGCCTCCTGGCGCCGGAGGCGGCGATGTATCGAGGAATGGGCCCCTCGGTGAGGCCGAAACCAGCTGCATGCAGCAAATTTCGTAACCCCCCCTTTCCCAATCCCCCCCTTTCGCCCGGCCCGATACCTCCTCGAACGGCACCCTGCCCAGGAGCGCCTCCCGCGCGGCGCGGCTGCCTTGGGCGGCGCACTCCTCCGGTGCGTGGCGGCGAACAAGGGCTCCTAAGTTCGCGCTTCGCGCTGCGCGAAGCGCGAAGCGCGAATAACTTCGCGCTCTCGCGCCGCCCCCCAAGGGGGAGAAGAGGAGGACGAGGAGGAGGGGGAGGAGGAACGAGGACCGCGAAGCGCGAAGCGCGAATAACTTCGCGCCCTCGGGGGAGCCCTTGCGAAGCTCTCCCGAAGCGCTCCACGAGCACTGCTCAGTCGCAGAGGCCGCAGTCGGACACGCGCGCCTGCACTCGAACGGCGGCGCGGCCTCGGTGCTCCATCCCGAGCTCGGCGGGCGGGCTCCTCCACCTCCACGCCGTCGATGCCCTCGACCTCCGATCCGAAGTCCTCGTCCTCCAGGCAGCCTCCCGACGAGACGTCTTCCTGCATGCCCTCGTCCACGCACTTCTCCGACTCCCCGAAGCCGTCGAAGCTGTCGTCCGAGTGAAATTCGCACCCGCTGCTCCCGGACTCCGCTTCGACGCCGCCCTCCCTGTGTTCCGCCTCTTCCTCGAGGCCATCGTCCTCCGTCTGCTCCGTGCTGTCTTCCACGCAGCGACCCGCCTCCGCAGACCTAAGCGCCTCCAGCAACTCTCCGACGTCTCCACGCCCTCCCAGGCCGACATGCTTGGCCGCGCCCTCCACGAAGGCGGGGCCGCCAGGCTATTCACTACCCCTTGCCGTCCGCGTGCAGCGCCGCGTTGCTCCTCAGGACCTCCTCCGCGACGCGGTCAGCCAGCTCCGGCTCCCCCACGATGGCCGCGCAGCTGTTTCGCGCTGCCTTCAATTCGCCGCGCAGCGTCTTGACCTCCGACTTGGCGGCAGCCATGCAGTGATCCGCCGCCAGCAGCGCCCGCCGCCTTACCGCCGTCCGCTCCGCCCGTGTCTTCCTCGGTCCTCGATACCTCTCTCTCCAGGATCTCTGCCAGGCAACCCTGCCCGCGCGTGTGCGAAGGAGCCGGCTTGAGTCAAAATGGCTACGGACCCGACGACGACGGATGACGACGGACGACGACGACGACGGCGGCGGCGGTGGCGGCGACGACGACGACGACGACGACGACGACAGCCGCGGCGGCGACAAGGACGACGATGGCGTCGGCGACGACGGACAACGACGGCGACGACAACGACAACAACGGCAGCGTCGTCGACGACGACGACGACGACGACAGACGACGACGACGATGACCACGACGCCAACGATGACAACGGCAACGGCGGCGGCGACGGCGGCGACGGCGATCACGATGACGAACGATGACAAAGACGATGACCACGACGACGACGACATTGACGACGAAGACCACGACGACGACGACCACCATGGCGGCAGCGGCGTAGACGACGACGCGGACAACGACATCGACGACGACGACGACGACGACGACGCGGACGACGACGACAATGACCGCGACGACTTATCCCCCACGTCAGCTAAATCATCCATCTTTTCCTCTTCGCCCACCTTTGCAATATCCACCTCCTCTACTTTTTCCTCCTCATGATGATCCACCTCACTTCTTGTCCGCCTCCCCTACTCCTCATCCCCCTGCTTGCCTCCTCATCCTCGTCTCCCTCCTCATCCCTCCTCCTCTTCCTCCTAGTCGTCCGTCTCGTCCACCTCTTCCTCGTCCTCCCCCTTCCGACCCCCCACTTTCCCTCCTGCGCCTGCTTCTCTCCCTCCCGTCCTCCTTCTCCTCCACCCCCACCGCGCCGCCGTCTCCCTGGCCCCCTCGTCCGCTGCCTTCTCATCTTCATCTTCCCACTCCCTCCTCTCCTCCCATCTCCTCCTGCTCCTCCTCCTTCGCCTCCTCCGCTCCTCATATTCCTCCCCCACCTCTCATCTCCTCTTCCTCCTCCAGCCTCCTCCCTCACTCGGTGGGCTGCAGTCGCTACCAGGGGGGCCTTGTTGATGGTCATTGCCGAGACTGTGTGCGGCAGCCCAGCGGCCAACGCGGCCTGCCTCGCCGGGTTCTGACCTCGGCGGCTCTTCGATCTGCGGTGGGTTGCGGGAGGGGTCGTCTTACCCCAGCGGGTCTTATGACCTCAGGGTCACAGATTACGCCAACTGTAAACACAAACACCAGTCTTGCCCAGGCCCATCCTTTGCCCAAGATCGGTGTCAAACGCCCTCCTGGCGCGGCAAGGAAAGCATGTGAATCGATCGCGGGCCAAGGATTGGCCTAACTAGGGTCGGAGTCGTTGTACAGCTGACGCCTCCCGAAGGAGTAGGAGGGGGAACGGAAGACGCAAGGAGTAGAGCACAGAGCCATCGTCTGAGGATCCAGTCTGCCTCAAGCATCGAGCCCTTCGACGCGGCCACCAACAGACGTACCGTGCGGTCTCTCAAGAAGCACACCGTTGTTGAAAACGACAGGCTGGGCCCAAGGGACCGCTGCTTGCTTTCAGATCGGTTCCTGGACGCGCTGACCAAGCTCGGGCGCTTGATGCCTAGGGTTGGGCGCCTCCGCCACACGTGTCCCTGATCATGATGGCACTCTTGGAGGAGCCCGGAAAAAGCTAAATGCCCGCAAGGCTGCTGGTCACAGTAGTCGTCCGAATGTGATGAGGGGGCGGCATGCTGCTAAGTCTTGGGATCTATCGCACGAGCGTTTTTTGAAGACGTTGATTCCCTGGGACGTCCTGCGAGCGGGGAGTCTGGAAGCAGGCCTTCGCTGCCCGCACTCAAGGTTTATGTTAATTTGGGGCACGCCCTCCTGGTAGATGCCGCACTTGCGACTGAATTCCCGTTGGTCATCTTGCTGTTCCCGCTTGTCCTGTATACCGTTCGCATGATCTCAAGACACACGGCTCGGTGCCAGTGGTTGCTTCCGACGGTCGCAGCAGGGTTCGCGCCCCTGCTCGCTCGAACATGCTGCTAGTTCCGAGGGTGGGCATGGTTCAAACTGGCTGCTTCTGAGCACCCCGACCCCCCCGTCCTGTAGTCGGGGAGACGTAAGACCCGGGTACGGGGGACTCGGAAATCCCCAACGAGGTCGTCAAAAAAATGACGAGGCCGAGCCTGCATTTTGACGAGGCCTCCCGCTGCAGGCATCCCACAAAACTCCTCCTCGTCAAAATCCGAGTCGCGGTCGTCAAAAAACGATGGCGAACCGGAGTCCTGGCAAACCCGGGTCTTACGCTCCCCCGATATAGTCCCCACCAGGGATATCAGCACCCTCCCTGGGACGGCCCGTCTGCATGCGCCGGCCTCGGAAGCCGATGCGGGCTTCCCGAGGCTCAGAACTGGGCTTCGCCTTCCCCCATCACGCCAGGAGGCCCTGGCCCGGCCTCTGCCGGGGAGGCCGACCACCCCACCTGGCGCTCCCCCCTCCGCCCCCCCGGTCGGGGACCGCTGCCGGCAGTGAGGACCTGGCCCAGGATGACCTCATCGACCTGGGGCAGGGGGGGAGAGACGGTCCCCAGAGGCGAATCTCGGCTGGCCTCGACAGGCCCCCAGGGAGGCTGGGGCGGTTCCAGTGCTCCAGTTCCCAACCCTGGGGCGCGCAACGCACCCAGAGGTGTCGAAACTGCCCGAGCCACCCCAGGGGGCTTGCCGAGGCCAGCCCGGACTGCTCCCGGGCTGGCTGTGCGCCTCCCAAAGCCTTGCAAGAGACAAGACCACACAAGACACACTTGCGACCCCTGTCTTGACTGCCTGCAAGCCTCTCTGTACAAACGGAAGCACGGCTTGACAGCCCTGAAAGGGGGGCAGAAGTGCGGCGTCGAGGGGGAGTTGGCTCTTGCCCCTTGCCTTTCGCCTGCTGCTCCCCACAGACGGGCGGCAGACGGGCTCCGCCTGGGGCGCCGATGCCCATGCTTGACCTCTCCGACTCACGAGTCGCAGGCGACAAGAAGCCCGAATCCACCTCGTCATCCTCCTCTCCAGCCTTCGCAGTGCTGCACCCGGACCCCTCCTCCTCCTCCTCCTCCTCCTCCTCCTCCTCCTCCTCCTCCTCCTCCTCCTCCTCCTCCTCCTCCTCCTCCTCCCCCATTATCCTCCTCCTCCTCCTCCTCCTCCTCCTCCTCCTCGTCCACCTCGTCCTCAAACTCCCCCTCATCCTCTTCCCGCCGCTGCTGCGCGACCAGTGGGCCAGGCCAACCCGCCGCATCATCTACCCCTCCCCGCCCACGATCCCCTTGGGGGGGCGAGGAAGGGGGGGGGGGGGGGGGCGAGGAGGAAGGATAGGAAACGCGTGAGCATAATGTTCTCCGAGGGCGACGCGAGGAGCGCCCGATCTCCATCCCAGCTCCTGCTCCCCCGTCCTCTCCTTCTCCGTCGTCCATTTCTCATCCTGGCGCGAATCCGTTATGGTTTTGGTAGGCCACCAAATCCTGCAAAATCGCTCCTCCTCCTCTCCCTCCTCCTCCTCCTCCTCCTCCTCCTCCTCCTCCTCCTCCTCCTCCTCCTCCTGCCTCTCCTCATCCCTGCTCCCCTTTGTCCCAATCCTGCCCTCCCTCCTCTTCCCGTGGAGAGGAGCAGGATGACGAGGAGTAGGAGGACAAGGAAGAGGGGGAGGAAGAGAAGAACACAGGAAAGAGGAGGAGAGGGGCGATGACCACGAAAACGACGACGGCGGCGGCGGTGACATCAAGGACATCGACGACCGCAGCGGCGGCGGCGGCGGCGGTGGCGACAAATCCGTCGGTCCTGCTCTGGCCTCAGACGCGCGTCCGCCAGCGCGGCCCGGATGCACTCCGCGCCCAGCAGGTGGGCGGGCACCGAGAGGTTCGTCGGAGCGGGGAGGAGTGGGTGGGGACTGCCCGGCTGGCGCCAGCAGATGGCGTCGGAGGACCGCGCCGCATCGCCGTCAATTTTGTTCCTGGTGCAGCGCGATTCTCCGACCCCATCTGCTCGGGCCCTACCCTGTCGGCCTGGAGGAGGGGAGAAGGGAGGGAGGAGCCAGGATGAGGGAGAAGGAGGGCAGAGAGCCAAGCCTTTGCATGTCTCTAGTGCTTCTCCGGCCTCCTTTGGGCGCCCTCGCGGCCACGGCCAGATCCGACCCCAAACATGCGGGCACCAACGCGCCGCAGGCCAGGACCTCTGCCCTGTCGGCTGGGGTATATATATATATATATACACTTATATGTACACGTATATATATGTATATATATATATAATTGTATATATATGTATGTATGTGCACATGCATGTACATATATATATATATATATATATACAAACAAACATGTGTATATACATATACATATATACACATATATATATATATATATATATATATATATCATCTCGCGGGCGAGTTCGGCAACACGGGGCGCTCAGAGCCCGTTCCTGGGGCCCCTGAGCCCCTGGGTCGCCAACAAAAACAGCTCGGGAGGGGCCCCAGTCAGAGAAATCGGGCGGGTGTGCGCGCGCAACGACCCCGACCTCACAGGAAGCAAGAACCAAAAAAAACGACTGAAAGGTTTTGGCAATCTCTGGCACCTGGGGGCCCCTCCCGGGCTCGAGGACCGTCAAAACACGACGCCAGCCCCCAGGAAGGGATCCATACCTCCTGGCCGAAAAAAACAAGTCACGACGACGGAGGTTTGAAGAGGAGGAAGAAGAGGAGATCTTAGCGAAGGCGCCGGGGCTTGACCTAGAACCGTTTGCAGCTCTGGCTCTGAATATGTCTGAGGAGGCCGAGCGTCCTCAAGAGGGCTCCGTTCGCAGTCATCGATGCGCCCCAGCACTGTGCGGGAGGTCAGCTGCAAGACGCACAGTTCGTGCAACATCCGCCGCTTCGGAATCCGAAGGCACCCATCCTCCAAGACCTCTCCGTTTAGTGCGGAGGAGGCGATGAAGTTCTTAAAAGATCGGAACAAACCGAATCTGCAGGAGGGCGCAAAGGCAGAGGGCCAATCGTTGGAGCATCGACGACAAAAACCGGAGCGCCACTGCCAGAGCCACATGGGAAAGGAATCCAGGGCACCCCTTCGTAGTGAGCGATATCGGGGGCTGGGGTTGCGAAGCCGGGTGTCGCACACCCACCCGCCCGTCCAGGTGCGATCGGCCGCCATCCTCCACGAGGGGGGGGAGCGCTGAGCGTCCCCCGAACCCCCTCCCAGCTCGCGCGCTGCAGCATTTCCCCCCCCCCCAGGGTTGAACCAGCGGCCGGGCCGCTCCTCGATAGCGCGGAGGAGGGAGCCCTCCGAGAGATACAACACAGGGGTGATACCACGCTGGAGGGTCATCTGGGTCTGGATGCGAGAGTGCGGGGGGCCAGTCGAGAGCGTCGCCATCCTCTCGCTTCTGAGGAGCTCCATCCCCCTGCTGGCCTCCGGACCCTCTCGGGGGCCCAGGAGAGGAGAGGCCTCCGCCGCCAGCTGGAGCGACCATGCGAAGGCGGCTTCGTTCCAGAACGTCGGCCATGGGCTTCTCCCCCCCCCCGCGCGCGACAAAATGAATTACTGCCATGCGTCCCTCGGCCTCCGCGAGAAGGAGCGTGCACATCTGCGGCCACGCGCCGACTGTCTCCCGAACAGCACGCATCCGCGCCGCCAGCGCCATCGCTCGGATCGGAGGGATGGGAGGGCCTCCGCGAGCCTTCGAATCCATCCAAGCAGACAGAGCAGCCACGAGCCCGGGGCACGGAAGAGGCGGGTGAGGAAATGTCGCTCGTCCGCGACCTGTTGACGCGGGAGCGGGCACTTGCATGAGAGCATGCTGACCGCTCTCTCTCTCTCTCTCTGTATAGATGCGGACGGAAACGCTCGAGTCGGCGGCCGAGTGAGCGATTGCGACCGTCCGGCTGCTCCATCCCTGGAGAGGCCGAGCCCAGGACACCCTCCGGAACCCCAGGTCCGAGCTCGAAACCGAAGTACGCGAGGCGGGGGGGCGATCTGGAAGCCCGTCCACTCCGCGCCCGCCCCTTGGAGCAGCCGGGAGGCCGCCGCCGCCACCGGAGGAAAGACGCGCTCCCACAGAGGCACAGAACAGCAGTTGAAAAGCTGGAGACGCTGACTCGCAGCCGCACGCACGAGCCGCAGCGCTCTCGCCAGCACCGCGCGGCCGGGAGATCCCCAGACAACCGACCTCGAACCATCAGCGCACAAAAGGCCGATCCCCCGATCGCGCTGCTCGAGATGAACTTCCAAGTCCCGCGCGGGGGGGCGGGGGCAGAGAGCGCATCGGCCACCGCTGAGGGGGTCCCCTGAGTGATCCCGCTCCAGACCTGCTGAAGTGGCAATCGAGCGGCATCGGAACTCAACATCACTGCTTGAGAATATGCACCGGCCACCGCGTCCGCTAACCCCGCGGGGGCCTGCCACAATCCCAGGGCGGCTCGAATCCTTGAGAACGCGACCGAAGGAAAAACCTCAGCAGCATCAAACGCAATAATCATAAGGGTGGAACGGTCCTGGCGGCACCCCTCGGGGTCGAAAGGGTGCATGCATGCTGGCTACGCGGGCCCATGCATCCAGCTCAGCAAGGTTATTGAAGGAGTTCCTTTTGCGAGCGAACCACCTCTGCGAACCCGCGACAGCGAAGGCTACGGCACGAGACAGCTTGCCGTTCATGGCCGAAGATCGCCTTCGGGCCTGTCGATTTCAAAGCCAGCGGCCGCGCGCGCGCCGGTGCGCGCGTCAAGCCCGCGCCGGGCTGGTCGTCATCCTCTGGGTCCGTGCCACTCGGGGGGAAGACGCTCGCCCCGTGATGGAAATTAGACCGCCTCGGGAGCCCCGAGCGGAGCCACCCGCATGCCTCGAGGAACACTCCCGGGCCGCGGCTCACGGCGCTCCACGCGCAGGCTGGGGGGCCGCCTGGCCCCGGGGCCGCGGGGCGAGGCCTCTGCGGCACCACCACGATGTCCGAGAGGCTCGGCAGCGGGATCTGCGACCAATCCACGCGCGGCGGGGCGCGCCGCCGGAGGTGACGGTTTTTCAGGGCAGCTCGCGGCTCCTTGGCCGCCAGCGGCAGCGGCGGAACAAAAAAAAAAAAGGCGGCCTCCAGTGCCCGGCCAGAGCGATTCGTTGCGCCGCAACCGACGTCGCAACGCCATTGTCCGCCACCACTGCGGGGAGGAACCTCCTCGCGCCAGTCGGCGCCCAGAGCTGCGCTCGTCTCCTCAGCGCCTTGGCCTGGAGATGCAACCGTCGCCTCAGGTGCTCCTCCGATTCAGCGTCGGCGGCCTCCCTGGCGCAGCGTCTCCAGCGCGCCGCGTCTCGCCGCTGGGCGCAATTGAAGCGCCGCTGGGACTCAGCTAAGTCCAGAATGTCCACCTTGCCCCCCAGCTCGCCCACTGTCATGAGCTCGTGTGCCCAAGCATGCCAGCGGAGAACAAGCGCGGCCAGCCTCGCATTCTGCCGCCAGCATGCGCGCGCCAGCTGCCGCCTATCATCGCGGCGGAAGCCTTGGTCCCGCTGGTGGTCAAGGGCTGCTCCTGCTGCGCCAGCAGGGCGGCCCTCTCCAGGATGCGCGCGCACATCGCGCGTCGGCCAGGGGCCAGGGGTCTGGGCCAGGAGGTGGTCCAGCGACGCCTGCTCAAAGTACGCCTTCACGATCTCTTGAAACCTCGGCGCCCTGAAGAGCGCCGTAGGTCAAGGAGCGGGCGCGTCCGGATCGTGCTCCACGGGCTGCCGCGGGCCGACGGAGGCGACGACCATTGCGTGGTCGCTGGCGCCAGCCTCGCATCCGCGGGCTGCCACTGCTGGCAAAGCGCCCAGGCTGGGATGCTAACGTAGATCTCATCGATGGCCGAGTTCGTCTTCTGGCCCTCGTGCCAGCGAGTGGGGCGCCCGGCATCCAGCAGCACCGTGCCCCGAAGCGCCTGCTCCCACTGGCGCTGCTGGGGGTGGCGCGCTAGCTGCGCTCCACTGTCCAACATCGGGAGGAAGGTGCCCGGCTCCGACGTGTCGCCAAAATTGAAGTCCCCTGCAGCTGCTACCGCCCGAGTGGTCGGATCCTCCTTGCTCCAACCAAGCTATGTCCTCCTGGAGGCGCGCGGCGACAAGCTGCCGCAGGCTCTCCTGGCACAGGCTGCACTGGTAGCCGTACAAGTCACAAAACTCTTGCTTTCACTGGCTCCTCCAGAGGCCCATAGTGCACACCGCGGCCACTCGCGGTCTTCCGACAGCACGCACCGCGCGATCCTCAGGAGCTGGTGCGAAGCAAACAAAATCGCGGCCAAGACGATGGAGAAGGACATCCACACAAGCTTGGTCAGCATGGGTCTCCTGCAAGGCCAGCGCCATCGGCCCCCGCCAGTGGCGCATCAGGTATTCCAGCGTCTTCTTCGCCGTGGGCGCATCGTGATGGGCCAGCGCCCAGGCGCTCCACGTCGCGAAGAACACCTCCCGGCCGTCCCAGCCCCAGCCCCTGGCCAGCGCGCTAGAGGCTCCACTCCTGCGCGACGGTGGCGAAGAGTGGGTCCGCGCGCCTCTCCAGGCCACGCTCGTTGAGGCCGAGGGCCCAGAGGGGGGCGAGGATCCAGCCGATGGAGGGGGCGTCCGTGGGGCGAGCAGCTGCTTCCACTGCGTGGACAACGCCCCCGCGTCACTCTCCACGAACAGCCCGGAGGCAATGGCGACCATGAGGGCCATCTTGATCTTCTTGAGCGCCAGCTCCGCGGCGACTTGCTTGCGGTTGCGGTCGCGCCCCAAGCTGAGCACAACCTGGGAGCCGTCGGGGGCCTGCGCTGGGATCGAGCGCCACTCCCTCGGGCCGACACGTCTGTGCTGCAGCAGCTTGTCGATCCTTCGAGCTGCCAGCTCCGCGGCGCCGCTGCAGCGCAGCAGGTAGCGCTGGGCGACCAGCTCCCCCTCCAGGGTGGTTGTGTCTGGGCCCAAGGCCGCGTCCGAGAGGAGCGGGGCCAGTGCCGCATCCACGGCTTCCTTGGAACCAGCCACCTTGGATAAGATGGAGACATCTGCACTGTCAGGTTCGCGATCCCAGCCGCCGCCCTGCGGGGGGCAGGGGTGGCCGAGCTGACCACGAGGAATTCTGAGCGGAGGCGCTCAAGCTCGCCGCGAAAATGGGCAACCTCACTCAGCCGGACCTCCGCGGCGTGGAGATGGTCCTCGACCGCGGCGACGCGCGCGTCCATCCGCTCTGCCAACTCAGAGTGCGCTTGCTGGAAGGTCGCCGACATGTCCGTAGTTGTCTGAAACACATTACTCTGCAGCGACGCCTGCAGACGCGACTCCACGTTGGCCAGGGCCTCATGCGCCGAGCCCGCGGGGGGGCACCTCCGCCCTGCCGCGGTGGAGGCGGGCCGCGCGGCATGCCCGCGCGCGCAGGAGGGGCACCGAGCGGTGTCGCGCCGGCTCCGGCTCCTCCGACGTCGCGGGCAGCTCCACAGCCGAGCTTCTGAGCCGCGGCTGCGGCCCAAGCGTCGGGCGGGCCTCGAGCAGCAGCCGCTTCTCCTCCAGCCGCGGTCGCTCCTCCTCCAGCCGCAGCCGTGCCTCCTCCTCCAGCCGCAGCCGTCAACCTCCTCCACCGCGGGCCTCTTGAGATGGAACAGTGGGCATCGCCTGCAAGGCCGACAGCTCCGCAGCCGAGAGGGCAAGGCGAGCAACCGCTGCCGCATGGCCGCCAGCGCACCCTGCGGACGCGCGGCCGCCGCCATGCTGGCGGTCGCGCGGGCGTTCGTCCCGGCCTGCGCTGCCAGCCGCACGATATTGCTGACGCTGCCGCCGCTGGCGCGCTTCCCAGCGCCGCTGCTCGCTGCGGGAGGCGCTGCGCTGGTCGGACGAGCCCGAGGCGCTGGATTCCGAGCGAGACATCTGGCCGCCAGCAGGATCGGCAACCGCCGCATCAGCGCCCGCGACGAAGGTGGCGGACCCCATCTGGCCGCTACGGGGGTCGGAATCGCGAGGGTGAAGCGGGGCGACCTCACACGCGTGCAAGGTTCCAGATGGCGAATGATAGGATGTGAGTACCGGAACATGGGAACATCGGACCTGCAGCTGTCGCCGGCTAAGGCGTCGCTGGCAGGCGCCGTGGCGCCAGGTATGTGAAACGCGTGGGGAAGCTAAATAGAAATCGGCAGAGACGCAAGACAGTACACAAATATAAGCAGCCTAAATAAACAGACGAGGTAACAAATGCACAATTACATTATATTCGGGCGCAGACCTGCCGACATAGTTTGGCTCGATAATCTTCCACATGTCAGCGTTGGTAATAGATATCCAATGTGGCCCGGCATGTTGTCGGATGTCTTCACACCACCTCCTCTTTGGGCGGCCAGGTCTCCGTCGCGCACCACACATGGGATCTTGTTGTGGGTCCCATTGCAGAGCCTGTGATGTCCATTCGTGTGCTTCTGAACTGCACACCCTCTTGGCCCATCTCCATTTTCGTCGGCGTTGGATGGATATCCAGTCGGAGATCTGCAGCCGCAGGATGTGAGTATAGGGTGAGGAATAACACGGGGCTCAAATGCAACCGCGTTGCTTGATTTGAGCCTAAATGGTTTGAGCCAAAATGGCAGTAGCCATGTTGGCTCAAGTCCTGAGAAGGTCTCAGGAGAAAGAGGAGGAGCAGGTGAACTGAGGCGCGCGCGCGGCGCGGAACTCCAGAGAGGCCAACGGAGAATGGCCTATGGAGAAAATCGGGGTGACCGCTTCAAATGGAAAGGGCCCACCCTGCAGGTTCGGTTAAACAACACATCATTGAGCGGTGGTGCAGCCTCCCCTGAATACAGGCCACCCCCAAAGCATCAGCCAGACAAGTCGGGTTTGCACCCTCACGCCTTGCTGGGCTCTGGCCGCGTTTCGGCACGCTCTCCCCCAACCTCGTCATGACCACCGACAGGGGAGGGGGAGGTCCGAGGAGAAGGACGTGGAGGAGGAGGAGGAGAAAGCCCGCCCGGCACCGCCGCCAGGGAGCCGTTGAACTTCGCCACCGCGGTGCGGCGGGCAGCCACAACCACCGCCGCCATAGGCCGCAGGGCGCCTTGCGGCGGGGCTGTGGGGTGGCCTTCTCCTCGTCGCCTTTTTGCTGCAGAGACGCGACAGCCGCAACGGGGGCTGGCACGTAGCTCAGAGGGAGGGTGGGGGAGTGACATGTACCCTGGGCCTCCCATGGCCGGGCTGCTGGAAGTCTTGGGGAGCATGCCAAGTACGTGTGACTCCCACTTGCTGTTTGCCAACGTCGCCGCCTCCGAAGGACAGGCCCCTGGTCGGGTTGAGAGCGCCGGCACAGTGGACCGAGCAGGCACTCAGGATCACTCTTCCATGGGACGTGGTGCAACCACGTGTGAAAGCTCGGACTGGCATTTTGGAATGAAGACGCGTGGGCCTTGACCTCAATGCAGGAGAGTCCAGATCGAATCGGCAAGTCGGATCGGCGATCGAAATTCATCGGATCGGCGGAAATCGGCAGCCAAGTCAGGAGAAGCCGACTCGGCGGAAATCGGCAGCCTAGTTTGCATTCGCTGGTAAACCGGACTCTAAATAGGAATCCGGAGTCAGATCGAATCGGAATCGGAAGCCATCGGACTCGAATCGAATCGAGCATCGGAGGAATTGGCGCGAGCTCTCTGCCGTGCGCCCCTCTCCACTCCATGATGGGCCTGTTTTCCACCACCACCACCACCATAAGTTGGAGGGGGAGGGGGTCCTCCTCCTCCTCCTCCTTCTCCTCCTCCTCCTCCTCCTCCTCCTCGTCCTCCTCCTCTCCTCCTCTCCTCCTCTCCTCCTCCTCCTCCTCCTCCCCCCTCCCCCTCCTCCTCCTCCCCCTCCAACTTATGGTGGTGGTGAAAAACAGGCCCACCACTCCATGATGACTCCCCTCCGCTGCAGTGCAGGGCCCCCTCGCGCCCCCGCCCCGGAGCATGGGATTCCGTCCAGCGGCTGCACGGACGGAGGGCGTGCCCTCTCGAGGAGGCGGCCCTCGCTCGGATGCTGCGCTGCAGCCGGGCACGGGAGCGTGCCGTCGTACAGAGGCGCCTCGGGCAGAGGGCGAAGCCTGCTCCACACCGAGCTCACACGCGAGAATCCCCGACGCCGAACTGCCCTGGAACGTCAGGACGCTGTCGTTGACGCGAGGCGGTTCCTTCTCACAACCAGCCTCTTGCGTGCGATCTCCTCCTCCTCCTCCTCCTCCTCCTCCTCCTCCTCCTCCTCCCGCTGCTTATGACAGTAAAGAATGAACATTCATCGGCATCTGACGGGGTGGAGGAGGGCTCCTTGTCGAAACCCTACTCGCCTGAGACGTCTGTGCGTTTAACTGGCCCAAGCTCCGATTCCCAAATACATCGCGAATAAACATGAAGCGAAAGTAACGTTCTTGAGCGGCGAGGGCTCGATTCCTTGATAGATCTTTGGGAAGTCTCAGGCGACTGCGCCATCCCCGAGCATATTGCAAGGAGGCTTCGAGCGAGAGCGCGCTTCCTCAACGAAACGCGTGGGTGTCTCAGGCGGGAGTCGTGGTTGCTGTAAGTGCCGTAGTCTGAGGGGCCAGGGGCGCAGTTTGAGCCCGAAGGCCTTTCATGACAGCAAAACGGAGTGCGAGAGCCGAGAGGAGCTCTGCAATAGAAAGACACAATACGCACAGGGCAAGGGGAACCCAACAACAGCAACGTCAGCATGAGCATCAACATCAGCATCAACATCACAATCATGGCTACCGCTGTCGTCGCCCGCATCCCAAGCCCTCATCTTGCACCACTGGACCTCGATGCCGACGATGCCAAGCCGTTTTGTCCTGCTCTCGCGCGAGCCGCGCGGTTCACGCGCAGCTCGGCTGACCTGGCGTCCGAGCGTACTGCCTGATCCAGATCTGCGAGATCCACTTCTCGTCCTCCGCCTGCGAACGCTGCGTTGGAAAGAGGAGGAGCAGCAGGAGCTGGGGGGACGATGAGGAGGTGGAGGGCGGCGAGGAGGACAACGTGGAGGAGGACGAGGAGGACACTACTGACGAAAAAAAGGGGCAAGGAGAAAAAGGCACGGACCGTTTTCGCTTCACACGACCATGTGATTGGCAATTATCTCTACCTCCTTCCCGCACCACCCACATCTTCGCGAACACGTATTGGTCGGCGGCCGCCGGGCAATCAAGCGGCGGTCCGGCGTCTACCAAGACACGGAAACGATTGCAAATTACGCGCGAAGGGCGAAACGCATCTTCGCGAACAACACGGCCGACTCCAGAAACCTCAGCAGGCTAGCGTCGCCCTTTCCGAGCCGCGCCTGCCCTGTTCCTCCTCTCTTAGGGCGCAACACCCTCTGCTGCATCAGGCTCTGGAGGCCATCGTGGGGGGCCCACTGAGAGCGCAGTCGCGGCGCCATCGAATCCCACGCGGGCGCGCGAATCAAACAATTCAGTATTACAGTCGTGGTGCTACGAGAGGGCTTTTCTGGCCAAGGCGAGCCTAGGCCACCAACAGCTTCCCCGACCTAGATGCAGCGAGCGGGCTGACAATCCGCCGACCCCCACAGAGCTCGAGGTGGTCCCAGATCTAGCGTTGCGGCTGTATCAGATGCTGCAGGGAAGGTCACAGCGTCCTGCCCCCCCAGGACCCCAGCCAGTATGAGGGCGACACGGCGAGGGCTCCCAAGATCCCCTGATCCTGGGAGGACCACGGGACGACACCGGACAACATCGAGCCCCGCTCCGACAAGCTCGCTGGCCGTCCGAATTCGAGCAGAGCAAAACATATGCGCGCGGGACCAAAACTTCTCGACGTCGGCGCTGTCCGCAGGGGCGAAGGCAGGGAACCCGAGGGTTTTGGGCCCCTCTTGGGCCCCAGAAGGGTCCCCAGTCTAGCCGAAATCGCCGCGCTCCCCGAAAACGCCGACCACAGCATCCCCCATTTGGTTTACGTCGGCCGGAACTTCGGCCAGCACACACACACATATACCTTTATTAGTGTAACTATGACGGTTATTATCAAATATGTAGGTATGTATGTGTGCATGAATGTACGTACGCGTGTATGCATGCATGCCTGCCTGCCTGTCTGTATGCATGTATGTACGTATGTATGTACGTGCGTACGTGCGTACGTATGTATGTATGTATGTATGTGTATACATATGTATATGTATAGAGAGCACTGGTCTGATCCACTCCTAATGATACATCGACCTCTCCCGACGGCATTCGTGGGAGGGTCGAGTGCATCTCTGGGGAGAAGACTGGCTCCAGGCGAGCCACATTCAGGTGATCCGACGACCACACCTGCTTGTGGGTGATATTCGTCGCGTTGGCACC